AAAAAAAAAAAAAAAAAGAGGGTCTGGCTATGTTGCCCAGGCTGGTCTCCAACTTCTAGTCTCAAGCAATCCCCATGCCTTGGCCTCAGAGCAGTCAACTAAGTGTGGGTGCCCACCCCCAAAAACAGCCCTGCACCCGAGATCACACTGCTTGCCCGCTGGTTAGCCTCAAATACCTCTCTTCACCAGCCCGAGCCTCAGTTTCCCCAGCCTGAGATGTCAATGAGGTGCACCTGTGGTTGGTTTCGGCCATCAGGTGGGATGAGGCCTGTCAGGCGTTTAGCACAGAAGACAGGCTCAGCCACGTGACAGATGATCCAGGCCTGCTGTGGCTGTCAAATTTCGTCTTACAATAATAGTTCACATTTTAAAATATACAAAAAATAATAATACTTCACAGTTATTATTCTTATATAATAGCTAAGACTTATATAGCACATCGTCAGTGTCAGGCGCCGTGCTTAGTTCTTTACAGACGTTCATGTATTTCACCCTCACCGCATCCCTATGCTGTGCCCTAATATTCTAGTAACTGTAGATGGGGGAACTGAGGCACACAGAGAGGAAGTATCTTGGCAGCGGTCACCTGACCACTCAGCAGAAGAGTCCACGTTCAAACACTGGACAGCTGGCTCCTGGTCTCTGTTCTTCATCCAACCCATTGTTGGGGCTCAGAAAACGATACCCCAAAATATGGCTCTTTGATGTGCCAAACGAAAGCAGCTTTAAGGTGTCTCCAACGCCACCCCCGCCCATCCTGTTTCTCCATCCTCTGTCCCTCTGAATGGGCAGGAGAAGGCTGCTGCCTGGAGTTCCCTCATGTACCTGGAAACCACACCCGCCAAAGAGGAACACAATTGCCTTCGACTCTTTCCCAGAAATGTCATTAAACAGAGAAGATGAAAACTCGTATCACAGAGGAAGAGAATGAAATGAAACACCACACCTGGAGCCCAGAGAGAGTTCGTCCCAAACTATTCTGTGCATTCCGGTCCCATTTGACCCCCTAAAGCAATTACTCACTGACCATTGTCCCAGCATCAGACCCACTCATTCCTCCTAAAAATCATTTACTACCCCTCAGAGTGGCTACCCTTCCCCAATCTCCGTTCTCCTGTGATGGAGGTCTTTATTTCTATTTTTATATATTTTTTGAGACTAGGTTTCAGTCACCCAGGCTGGAGTGCAGTGGTGTGATCTCAGCTTACTACAACCTCTGCCTCCTGGGCTCAGGCAATCCCCCTGGCTCAGCCTTGAAAGTAGCTGGGACCACAGGTGCATGCCGCCACACCTGGCTAATTTTTTTTTTTCTTTTTTTTTTTTGGTGAGACAGGGTTTTGCTATGTTGCCCAGGCTGGTCTCAAACTCCTGGGCTCAAACAATCCACTTGCTTCGGCCTCCCACACTGCCAGGATTACAGGGTTTTTAAGTATCTGGACCTCACTGGGTTACTGGGTAATCATTCTCCTGCCACTCCCCTGGCATTTATGCATGGTGAATAAATTTATACACCTTTTTCTCCTATTAATCCACCTGTTCTCAGTCTTTTTTTTTTTTTTTTTTTTTTTTAAAAAATTTTTTTTTTTTTTTTTTATTTTTTTTTATCTTTTTGTTTTTTTTTTTTTTTTTTTTGGTAAAAAAATTTTTTAAATAAATATAAAATAGCCGAGCACTGTGGCTCAGGCCTGTAATCCCAGCACTTTGGGAGGCTGAGGCAGGCAGATCACCTGAAGTCAGGGGTTCAAGACCAGCCTGGCCAACATGGTGAAACGCTATCTCGACTGCAAATACCAAAAAAAAAAAAATTAGCTGGCCATGTTGGTGCATGCCTGTAGTCCCAGCTACTTGGGAGGCTGAGGCAGGAGAATCGCCTGAACCCAGGAGGCGGAGGTTGCAGTGAGCCAAGATTGTGCCACTGTACTACAGCCTGGGTGACATGAGTGAGACCCTGTCTCAAATGAATGAATGAATGACAAGGTCTCGCTGTGTTGTCCAGGAAGGTTTTGAACTCCTGAGCTCAACTAATCCATACCTCGGCCTCCCAAAGTGCTAAGATTATGGGCGTCAGCCAACGTGCCTGGCCTGTCAGTTATTTTCAGCAACCCTTTAGAGGGTGAAGGGGCAGCCTTCCCTTGCCTCCTATGCTATGTGTTCTAGGAGCTGACTCATGACAGACACCCATGCACGCTCCCTTCTGAGATCCTGACACCAAGTATTCAGCGTGAAATTTTCATCGTAACGGGATTATTTCCTTGCTTCTTTGATCTGTCTCCCCTGACTCAACTGTAAGTAAGCCCCGTGCGGGCAGGGGCTGTCTGGCTCCCTGCTGTACCTCCAGCACCTGACACCCAGCGCAGCACACATCTGTCCAGTGAAGGAAGGCCAGAAGCAGTGTCCAGCCGCAGCAACTCAACCCAGAAGCAAGAGCCACAGCTCTCTTGATTTTAGCCTGCATGATTTATAAACTTGTTTTAGGCAGCATTCGGTGGCATGTGCCTGTATCCCAAGCACTTTGGGATTTGGGCGGCCAAGGCAGGACAATCGCTTGAGCTCAGGAATTCGACTCTGCAGTGAGCTATGGCAGTACCACTGCAATCCAGCCTGGGTGACAGAGAGAGATCTTGTCTCAATTAAAAAAAAAATGTTTTGGGGCAATCTCCAACAACTCAGGAAACCGTCTAACTGGTCCCAGGCTTTTCTTGCTTGGGGCTCCCTGACACTGCAGGTGGAGAGATTTAAGGGGCGCCTGAGAGCCCAGCCCCATCCTGGCAGGCTGCAAGGGGTGGTTGGGGGGGTTTGTTCTGGCAGCAGGGCCAGCAGCTGTCTGCAGGCCTCTCAGTGCCTGCCCTAGCTGGCCAGCGGGGCCCCGCTGCCACCCCCCACCCCATGACGCAGCAGAAACTGAAACCAGAGTTGGCCCCTGCTGGCTGGGAATGATCACCCACTGCTTCCCCGTAAAACCACTGTCCCGGGGGGCTGGCGGGCAGCTGGTGCCCAGGTCCAGCACAGGGAGGCCTGTCAGGCGAGTGCCCCTCAAGGCCAAGGAGGTGCCCTGGCCAGAAAGGGGGGTGCTGGGTCATCGTGACCCTAAAATGAGAAATCCGAGCTATGGATGGATGCAGGAGAGAGAGTGTGAGGGGTCCCAGTGGTGTCAGTGAGGAGGAAAGGGTGGCTTCTCAGCCCCAAAAAGGAAGCTGTGTGACACCAGTTTTGTCATGCTGGAGCCCTCTACAGATCTGAACTGGCAATTTCCCCCTCTCCCCTTGCCCCTTTCCACACAGACTACAGGGGTGTGGAAAATCCCTAAGATAAACAAGAATTCTTTAAAAGTGGACCTGTGGGCCAGGCGAGGCGGCTCACGTCTGTGATCCCAGCACTTTGGGAGGCCGAGGTGGGCGGATCACGAGGTCAAGAAATCGAAACCATCTTGGCCAACATGGTGAACCCTTGTCTCTACTAAAAATAGAAAAATTAGCTGGGCGTGGTGGTGGGCATCTATGATCCCAGCTACTTGGGAGGCTGAGGCAGGATAATCACTTGAACCCCGAGGTTACGGTGAGGCGAGATCGAACCATTGTACTCCAGCCTGGCGGTTAAGAGTGAGACTAAGTCTTAAAAAAAAAAAAAAGTGGACTTCTGAAAGTTTACAAATGACTTTCTTGATTTCTGCCCCATCCTCAAGCCACCTGTAGGTGCTTAATATTTTTCTTTAAAAAAAAAAAAAACAAAAAACAAGGCCGGGCGTGGTGGCTCATGCCTGTAATCCCAGCACTTTGGGAGGCCGAGGCGGGTGGATCACGAGGTCAAGAGATCGAGACCATCCTGGTCAACATGGTGAAACCCCGTCTCTACTAAAACTACAAAAAATTAGCTGGGCATGGTGGTGCATGCCTGTAATCCCAGCTACTCAGGAGGCTGAGGCAGGAGAATTGCTTGAACCCAGGAGGCGGAGGTTGCGGTGAGCCGAGATCGCGCCATTGCACTCCAGCCTGGGTAACAAGAGCGAAACTCCGTCTCCCAAAAAAAAAAAAAACAAAAACCACTCTTTTTTTTTTTTACTGATAACAATTGATGGGAAAAGGACCCTTGTCTCCCAACCCTAAATGGAAAATTAACCAATTGCCTGAAATAGAAATCAGCAGTGCAAAGAACACCTATTAGAATAATTTTCACCTTTAGCTAGGCACCCCTTAAAATCAGAGATGGGCAAATCAGACTTGGGAGGCATCTATTCCGAGTTATAGGTTTCATGCCTGAGGGCTTGGTGGCTCAGAGAGGTTGACTCACTTGTCCATGGTGACACAGCAAGGCAGCCACAGAGCTCAGTCTGGAATGCAGGCCTAGCTAATTCCAGAACCCCAGGCTCAGGGCTGGGCTGCCTTCTCCCAACCATCTGAATTTCCTCTGCAGGTATTCGGATTATCACCTTTCATGTTTAATGCCTGGATTACCCCATTTTTTTTTTTCTGAGAGTCTGACTCTATTAATTACCAGGCTGGAGTGCAGTGGCACGATCTCAGCCCACTCCTACCCCGCCTCCTGGATTCAAGCCATTCTCCTGCCTCACCCTCCCACGTAGCTGGGACTACAGGTGCCTGCCACCATGCAAATTTTTTGTATTTTTAGTAGAGATGGGGTTTCACCATGTTGGCCCGACTGATCTCAATCTCTTGACCTCGTGATCCACCCGCCTCAGCCTCCCAAAGTGCTGGGATTACAGACATGAGCCACCGCTCCTGGCTGGACTACCGCATTTTCAAAGCACCTTCAGAGCTTATACGTTGTTAGAGCTCATTATAACATCGGATACATCCAAGAAACCTTTGAAGCTGGAGCAGGGGGTGTTGCCCCTCCCTTGGTGTATGGGGAAACTGAGGCAGTGAGCGGGAAAGTGTTGTGTCTCAAGGAGCTAGCAGGTGAGCCAGGACTGCCCAGGGCCCCCTGCCAAGGCGATGATCCTGGGAGGCCCTGGCTGCAAGGACCAGGCCTCGCCAAACAGGTAACACTTGTTTCCACTTTCCCCACCTCCCGCCACAACCCCCCAGAGCAAATGCTGACGCTGACTGGGAGCCACAGCTGAACCCTTTCCCAGGCCGGATCTCGATGTCTGCCCCTGGAGGGCAAAAGCACATTTAGCAATCAGTGTGTGCGCATGGCGTCTTTGAATTTTCACAGTGAGAACCAGTTCTGAGCACAAGAAGACATCTATCAGGGACCCAGAAGACACTACAGCGGGAGAGTTTGGGGAACAGCTTTCTCTTCTTTTATTGCTGGAGGAACTCCGAGCTGAAGGCTTTCCGGCCCAGGGACCCCCGAGGAATACTGCAAGAGCAATAAGGATTTTTAGGGGCATTATGATAGTGGAATGGAAACACATCTGCCCCCAAAAGTCCCTCATTTTCCCTGCGGTAACGAACCAGCTGGCACGAAGTGGTAGCTCTCAGAGCACCAAGAGCCAAAACTAAAAGGGAAAAAATGTACAAAGTTAGAGCAAACTTTAAACAAGTGAGTGCTTTCATGGCGTTCGGCAGCTCCGTGCCGGCTCTCGAACGGACCTCATCTTCTCAATAATTGGCCAAATAGGTCTCAATGCAGCTGCTTCCATACAGAAAACCACACATCTGGAATCCCAGAGCAGGTTCCCAGAACGGATACAAGGATTATTCCCTAAAGCCAGGCGCATCACAGGAGACACGAGACGTTTCCCCCAAACTTCGAGCGACTGTTCCAGACCCTCATTAGTGATCTAAGTGAACGACTCCTTCAGCAGCACCTCCTCTGGAATGTGAGAAAGTCAGTCCCCTTGGAAAAGCTGATGAAAATATCTGGTTTCCACAACACAGAAGGAAGGGCTAAGGCATGGGTCGGGGAGTAGAGTGCCTATCGCTGGTGGGGCAAAAGGGGCAAAGCGGCTGGGTGTGGGGGCTCACGCCTGTAATTCCCGTTTGGGAGGCCAAAGTGGGAGGATTGCTCGAGGCCAGGAGTTCGAGAACAGACTGGGCAACATAGCAAGACTCCCCAGTCTCTACAAAAAATAGCCGGGTGTGGTGGTGTGCACCTGTTCTCCCAGCTACTCAGGAGGCTGAGGCTGGAGGTTCGCTTGAGCCCAGGAAGTTCAGGCTGCAGTGTGCTGTGATCGCACCACTGCACTCCAGCCTGGACAACAGAGTGAGACACTGTCTCAGAAAAAAGGGGATGGGTTTTACTGCTAAGGTACCGGGTATCATCTCTTGGTCCAGCCACCAAGATCTGAGGAGTAAGGAATCCAGGGTGTCTTCCCCAGGGTCTATGACCTTTGAGGCTCCTTCAGGCGAGTGCCTCCTATGCCAGCCAGCACCCTCAGAGCTGGGAAAGGGTTAATCCCTCCACATGGCTGACTCCGGAGGAGGAGCTGACTCCACAGGCTGGCATATCACACTGGGCCATCTCAGAGAGGAGAGGGCCTGAAAACAGCCTCTGTGAGTTCTGTGAATGAATGGAAGTGAACTCACTGCCTTCAGATTGAGAACGGGGTGAAAAGGCATCCCCATCCAGAACAGACTCCCCCGTCGCTGGCTGACTCTCTGGCACCTGTCGAGTGGCCCCGAAGCTCTGGCAGGGACTCTGGGCATCTATACCAGTGAGCACCTGGCCATCTCGGCCAGGCCTGTGAGGGAACGATTCTACCCTTGCCATGTGACAGCCGACAACTGGGGCCCAGATCTCTTCTTTCAAGTAGCACCTAAAATATTCTCCGGGTTAACCTAGGGCTAAATACAGCATGGCCTAGGAGCACCGGGTCTGGACCTTTTAACGCCATTCTAAGATATGATCGGGAACCCATGAGGCCTTTGGGTGGCCTGGAGTCCAGTTACTGGGGCCAAATGGGAGTCCCTTGCGTTTGGCTGACTCAGGGCTTGGTGCGACTTCCTGGAGCAGGCACATTTTGGTGCCAGGGCAGGGAGGCCGCAGACTGTTTTCTTCTGTGTTTTAGCCTAGAATTCCAGCCTCATTCTCACTCTGGGCTGACCCCCAAGGTGGCTTAGTTGGTGCCCCTCTTTCTGTCCACCGGGCCCACTTCTTTCCGCTTCCAGCCTGTAGCCCTGCCCCTCCTGGCCTGGGTTTTCCTCTCAGCTCCCAGGTGGGAGGCCTCCCCGAGTTGGAGGAGAGACCAGCAAACACCTGCACAGTAACTCGCACGTGCTGTGTGTTGTGTTGCTGGCTGGGAGCCACGCCTCCTAGGCCCACCCCAAGTCGAAGGATTGTGGCCCTAGTGCCAGAGAGCAAGGGCCGGGGGCCCGGCTGCATAAGCGCAGCTTTGCCTCTGAATCTTCGAGAGCCACATTTGCACTCACATAGGACAGCTTTGCTCCGAGCCTGTGGGACAGCCTCGTCCGTTCCCCTTTGAGCATTTACAAGGCTGAGTTTAGCAAAGTGGGGTTCTGCTCTTGCCAGAGCCCACAGGGTCACCAGGCTATGAAACCCTGCTGAGTCTCTGGGGAGGCTCCCTTTAAGAGCCAAACACCCCATCTTCTGGCCAAATTGCTGCAGGCTTCATCCCGGGAGGAAAGACCCCCAGACACCTGTCTGGACTTGTCTGGGCACCAGTAGTGGCTCTAAAGCCACGTCTGGGCCTTGGCTGGCAGTGATCTTGGCTGTCTTGGGCACTGACACCAGTACCAACAGGCCCAGCCCCGATCTCACGCGTGATTCCAGCAAGAGAGCCTCGATTTTGCACATCTCTGAGAAAACTTTCATACCACGCCGCACAGCTAACCTCAGGCTCAACCAGCCGCTAACTCTTCTCCCTGCTCAGGCGAAGTCCCCAAGAAAAGCCCAAATCTGTCTCCCCCACCCCATCTTCCCAAAGCATTTTTTAAATGGCTTTCTTCTAACACCCAAATCTGGGGTTTTCACTTTCCAGGGAGGTCCATTTGCTGCAGTGGTGCGGCCTTTCAGGGACACTGAGAAAGAAGTTTGCTTTGTGGTTCCGTAAACCCAGATGTTTTATAGAAGGAAGATGATGTAAAACCAGAAACTTTATTTTAAAGCTTGGTAAATATGTACATATGACTCCTACAACTGGCGACACTGGGAAGGCTGCATCTGAACACTGGCTGCTTTGAAAAAAGACCAGGAGAAGGGGAGGAGGGGTCAGCTGGGAGATGGGGTGATGGAGGGAGCCCCAAGTCCATTGCTTCTAAATTATTTCTTCAACGTCCATCTCTTTACCTGAAAAGTCAGCTTGGCTACCAGGCCTGAAAACTACGTTGTTTATATCATGTCTGTGTCAGTGTTTTTGTTCAGGGTTTATTTTCACCTTGTTGTGATAGAAGAAGCAAAAAGAACTCTACATTTCCTGTGTTTGGGGTGCTCAGGCGAGAAAGAAAATGCATGCTGAAAGTAATTGATCAGCAATGTTTTGTTTGTACACGACTCATTTTCTGGCAAGTGATTTTAAGTACCAAGTTCGCCTTAACTTTTCACTGCACTCATTTTTATCCTCGTGGCCAAAACAGCTGTATTGACTCTACAATCTGAATTAAAGGCGGGTGAGCTGATCGACTTTTAGGAAGCTATCTTTGATATGGCAAGAATTTTCATCTTTCTGTTCGTACCATGAGGTTGGGGAGTTGCTAGCAAGAGAAACAGAGAGTGTTCTCTTGGAGGGACTTTTCCAACTTTCATTGGTTTGAGTCACAAATGCATATTTTATTTTTAAGGAAGTATCATATTCATTGCAGAACCACCTCTAAATATGTTACCCCTTGCCATACCTTATTCTTTGCTATGGAAAGATCTTTTTTGCCTGAGATCAGCTATGGCTTGAATATTGCTAAGAATGAAATTCAAAGTTGCTTTTTTTTCTTAAATCTACACTTCTTTGGGGGTGTGGGGGGGAAACAACTGCTTAATGAAGTTTCTCACACAGAAGCAAAAAGAGAAAAGCCAAAATATATTCAGTGTATCCAGCAGTTCCATGTTGAATTTTTTTTCCCTTATTGGTTGAGGGGGGTGTGTAGGAGGGTGGTGGGAAAGATCTGAAAAGAAGCTGTGATTCTTTGCTGAATTAATGATGACTTCTCACTGCAAAATGCTGATTTATAATCTCTTCACCATACTAGACTGTTTCCAGACTTGGGGCGGGGGGGGGGGGTTTGCTAAATGTATTCATAATTACATGCACAGTTTCAGACAGCTGAATATAAGTGATGCTTGTGCTGTTGCGAACGCTCACCATTAAAGCAGAAATCGTTTCACATTTACCACTAAATTCTGTCTGATTTTGCACACTTAACAATTCAGTAATTTTAACATTCAGCTTCGTCGCCTCGATTATAGCTCAATATCTTGGAGAAACAGTCAGTGTTCCAGCCTCGTTAATTCACGTAAAACACCCTATTTGTGGAAGTATCATTAAAGGCTAATTTGATGAGATATCCTTATTTAGCAAAGCAAATAGGATTTGACAGTCAGCTCCGGGTGGCGATTCAGCAAAGCACAAACACAATTCACAACGTGACAATTTCCTATCTGTGAGCCTTGCTGGAATTGTGGACTCCTGAAAATTGTGCTGTTTCATCGTGTCCCATACTAAAGAGAAAGAACTCTGGAAGTAAAGAACTGTTTTTGCCAAGGCAGCACAAATGTCATCTGTGTGTACATGTGGCATGTCTTTCAAAATACTAAATCTTCTATCAAGAATGCTGTGTTCAGAAATTTTTTTCAGGTACAGCTCACTTTTCTATTCCCTGCTGTGTAGACTTAATTTAAATCTAGACTTGCAAATAACTTAGGGTGTGTGGATGTCTATATAGGTTACAACTAAATAGGGTGTGTGTGTGTGTGTGAGTGTGTGTGTGTGTGTGTGTGTGTGTGTGAGTGAACACACTGAAGCTTAATGTTCCGAGAGGGGCATTTATTCCCACTACCCTTGCTTTACAGACATCCCCTGAACATATTATCCAACCTTTTATAAAATGCCTGGCTGGGTGCAGTGGTGGACACCTGTAATCCCAGCACTTTGGGAGGCTGAGGCAGGCGGATCATGAGGTCAGGAGATCAAGACCATCCCGGCTATCAGGCTGAATCCCCATCTCTAGTAAAAATACAAAAAATTAGCTGGGCATGGTGGCACACGCCTGTAGTCCTAGCTTCTCGGGAGGCTGAGACAGGAGAATCACTTGAACCCAGGAGGTGGAGGTTGCAGTGAGCCGAGATCGTGCCATTGCACTCCAACCTGGGCGACAGAGCAAGTCTCCATCTCAAAAAAACGCAAAACCAAAAAACACATTCCAACAGCAAAGTAGCAAAGAGTTGCAAAGATGTGTTGCAATTCCAGGTGGAAGCAAACAGCTGGTTGCTCTTAATTCAACAAACGTAAAGACAAATCTAATGACATTACAATTCATAATTTCAGGAGTGCCTTATTTGGGGGTTTCAAGCACTTTCCCACAACTGACATCCTACGAATTCCTTTCCAATCCAATCTTGTCCCTTAAACCACTGTGGGGGTTGTCGGGGGGATGTACTTTCTCTTCCTTGCATCGTTTTGGGGCCTCCCAAGGAGAGAAGCCCTCGGAAAACACAGTAGGTTGGGCAAACGGAGAACACACACATATAAGAATACCGCCCTCGAAAGGACCTTTTAGTTTTATGGAAAGTAGCAAACCTCTCCCTGACTTTTCCCCCCAGCCAGGTTTTAGACGCGCTGCCTGGGGGTGGTAGCTCTCTGCTCTCACCCTCCTGGGACTGCCGGGGCCTGAGTCCCTCGCTGTCCAGAATGACCCCAAAAGCGGGACTTTGAGGGCCAGTTGGATAAAAAATAAACTCATCTCGCCCTCAAAACCCCGATTCTGGGACCACAGCCTCTAAAGCCTCTTTTCTCAAGAAGTGAGTCCCCTTCATGGCTGACAGCACCGGGCTAGGCCACCTTGGAGGCAGGAGTTTGGAGAATCCCGGATCAGTGAAGGAATTGTTACTGGGTGTTCCCTCGGGGACGGCGGTTCATCTCACCAAAATGCCAGCGGGTCGCTGTGGGAGAAGGGGGCATTTGCCCACCCCATGGCTGAGGGCAGGAGAATCGCTTATTCTGGGGTGCCTCTTCCCTGCCGGATCAATCCCCAATCTCGCCCGGCAAACAGGCCTGAAAGCTTCCCAGAGAACAAGAGGGGCTCCCCAAATGTCCCTTAGCAGCGCATAAATCGGGTGTCCCATGTGCCTCGTACAGTCTCCCCCACTCCCATCTCCAGCTAAATAAAGTTAGGTTATTTGTGTCCTTAATCGTCTCTCATTAAAGTCAAATTTGCTGCGCGCCCAAATTGGGGGAAATGATTTCCATTTTAATAGCTCAATTGGCCTCTGGGTTCTGGAAGGGCCACTCCCCCACGCACCTTTTCTCCTCATTTTAACCCCCTCCTTTTTCACAACTTCTCCTAAAAATAAATTATAAATATGGATGTGTCCTCAGAGGACATGAGCGGCGCATTCCAACGCTCCGCTTGGTGGGGATTGGAAGCAAAGAGAAACCAGAAACGCCACTCCCCCCACTCCCAAATCAAAATGCCTTTTCCTTTTTTTTTTTTTTTTTTTTTTTTCTGAGACAGGGTCTTGCTCTGTCATCTAACTTCTTTTCCTAACTTGGTGTCGTCTCGGGCACAGACACCCCGCTCCGCACCCCGGAACCTAGTTTGTTTTTTTTTTTCCCCCTGTCCTGCAGAAGCTAAAGCCAACGCGCTATGGCTGCCTGCTCTTCGAGGGGAGGGCGCAGACAACTTTATTTGGGGGGAACGGCGGTAACTCTCCCGGGACGGTGGTTCCCGGCTGGTCCGGAATCCCCGGGGCCCGGCCCCAGCAGTCGCCGCCGCCCATGCCAACGGGGACCGGGCGCACGTGGAGCAGCGGGCGCGGCCGGCCTGCTCCGCGCGCGGCATTGACATCGGGGTCACGCAGCGAGTCAGTTTCCCGAGCGGGCTTTCCGGGGTGGGGGCGGGGAGGCGGGCGCTCCACCGCCTCGTCAATTTCCAAGCCCCGACAAGAGGGAGACAGGGGGCGGCCTCGCCCCCTTCCCACCTCCTGGCCTCACATGCCCTCCTGGGGAGCGGGGGAGGGGCCGGGGAGAGGGGCCGTGGGGGAGCCCGGGGTGGCGGCAGCGGCGGCGATCGCAGCCCAGACAACCGTCTCGCGCCGGGTCCCGGGAGAGCCGCGCGCTCCCCTGCGGCCACCACCCCGCTCCAGTTCCCATCCACCCCGCAGGCAGCCGCCCCACACCCCTTCGGCCCCGGGGGCCTCGGCACCCACCTGCCGCGATCCCTGCCCTGGCTGGGGGAAGGTGCCAGGCGGGAAGAAGGGGAGCACTCACCGCCGCTGCCGCCTCCGGGGGTGCAGGGGCCCCCCCCCAGGGCTGCGCCGTCCCAGTCTCCTGGCAGGCGGGCGCCGGGCGGGGGGCGCCCCGCGGGCCCTGCAGCCTCCGACTCGATTGGAGCCCAGCCTTAAATCCTCCACAGTGGAAAGCTGGGTACTTCCAGAAAAAAAATCCGCCCCTCCCCAGACGAGATCCAAGTGATGGGCGGGGAGCGTAGAAAATCCTTTTCTGCAGAGAGCGCGCAGCCGACGGGGCTGCACCCGGCCTCCACGGTCCGCTGCCGCCACAAAGCCGCGCCCCCGGTCCCCCCCGCCCCCCCAGCGCCCTATGGCCGGCCTGGGGCGGGGGCTGGGCCAGCCCGGGGTTGGCCGCGCTGGGGAGGCGGCGGGGCGGCTCCTCCCCGGCCCGGGAGAGAGGGCGAGAGCTTGGAAGCCGAGCGCGCCCGCCCGAGTGGGGGCTGGGGCGGGGGCGGGGGCGGGGCCGGGGGCCGGGGTGGGGGGGCGCCTTCCTAGAAACCCTCGCCAAATATAGTCAGCGGATAGGGGCATTCCTAGAAATGCGGCGGCAACGTCAGCCTCGACCTGGGAGCGGGGGGCACAGCCCGGGGTGCTCCAAACTCGGGGGACGGAGGAGGGGAAAAGAGTCCCCACTTCCAGTACCACCGCAGCGCGGAGACGAAGCCGAGGCCGGGCTTCCCTCCCGAGGGGAGTGCGGAAGTCTTCCAAAGGCGCTTGAGGTATCCCGGAGCTGGGGGCGCATCCACTGAAGATTCAGACCCGGTCTGCCCCCGTCTTTCGGGAACACCCAGTGCCAGTGTCGGTGCCAGCTGGCGCTTCTGGCCCTTCCCCCAATTTTCAGCACCAACCCCCCTTACACACACAACCCCCGTGAACAAACAGTAAAAGTAGGTGCAGCATCAGGCCGGGTCCCCAAGCCTCCTACACCCACCCCTGGGCGGTCCCTCACCTCCTCTGGGATGGCTGGAGCCCCTGGATGCCCAGGGTTGTATCTGCACAGACATGCCGTGTTCCCAAGAAGTCCCCCAAATACCAACCCCCTTCGAGCCAGAAAATAAAGTTATGCTTCCTACTCCCCAGTCCAATGTCACTGTTGCTGCTTCCGGGGCTAAGGGCTCTTGGAGAGGTGCTGGAAATTGGGGGTAGGGCATAAGGGTGTCCCCGCCACCTGGCAAAGATCTGGCCTCTGGCGCTGACACTCTCACCAGCCATAGCTGTAATACTTTTCATTTTCCCGCAGTAAGGGAGACGCCCACCCCCCCATCCCCCTCCTAAAATCTGCTCCACCCACACCCCTGCCCAGGGACCCCCATATCTATCACAGAGGTGGCCCCTCTTTCGCAAAGAGAATCCACATAACTGAGACATGACTTGTCCCTCTCCACCGCCCAGCCTCTCCGTACGAAGACGTGACTGGCCTCAACCTCGCAGGATCATAAAAAATGTATTTTGCTGTCCTCTGTTGGCCAACTCGGGTCACACAAAACATACCACCCAACCCAGCAGGCAGTCCTGATGCCACAGACGGGTCCCAGGGACCCCAGCCAGAGGGCGTAAGCTGCACTCCTGTCCTCCAGTCCTTGGCATCCCTGCCCTCTCAGTCCCCTTTCTTATCTTGCAGCCGATGCACAGGCCTTGCTGGTGTCCCCTTTTCCTCATTGGGCCCTAATTCTAGAAATCTGGAGAGATTTCTTCCTTGTACTAGGGGAGGCAAGAAAGGCTGTGTTCACTCTGGACCAAGGGCACAGGGATCCCCAAAGGATGGTTTTCCCAATAGCAACTTGGAGAGGAAATGTAGCAAAAAGGCAACAGCTGATCACTGTTAATAGCAGTCCCCATTCCCATAGCCCCAGAAGACCTAAGCACATGAACACTACTAACTTACTGAACTGACTCATTTTCCAGATGAAAATACTGAGGCTAGGCCAGGCATGGCGGCTTATGCCTGTAGTCCCAGCACTTTGGGAGGCCGAGGTGGGCAGATCATTTGAGGTCAGGAGTTTGGGACTAGCCTGGACAACATGGTGAAACCCTGTCTCTACTAAAAATGCAAAAAATAATCAGGCATGGTGGTGAGCACCGGTGGTCTCAGGTACTCGGGAAGCTGAGGCAGGAGAATGGCTTGATCGTGGGAGGCGATGGCTGCAGTGAGCCAAGATTTCGCCACTGCACTCCAGCCTGGGTGACAGAGTGAGACCCCATCTCAAAAAAAATAATTAAAAAAAAGACTGAGGCTTAGAGGTCAGTTGTTCACGGAACTAACACCTGCTTGCCCTCTGTGTGCCGGGCACAGCGCTGCTACTAGAGCCGCCAGAACTACGGTGGCCAACAGCACAGGTCCCTGCCCTTGAGGAACCAGACGTCTGGGGGAGAGCCTTGAGTCAGCAGGTGAGCACTTCGCTGCCATCATGGTCCAGGCACTGTGGCAGAGTGAGGCTGGGCTGGGGGTGTCCTACCCTGGTCCTCCCGCGGGGGTTGTCTCTCTCCAGCCTGCAGCATCCTCGCCAGCTCTTCTTGCACAGTGCATTGAAAGAGAGAGGCTGTGTCTCCCCCTGCTGTGTGTGGCCAGCTTGGGGCCCCTGGGCACTACTTCACCTCTCTGGGCCTCTGTTTCCTCATCGGTAAAGTAGGAGTCACAAGGCCTGCCTTACAGGACTTTTTTCTTTTTTTGAGACAGAATCTCTCTTTATCATCCAGGCTGGAGCGCAGTGGCGTAATCTCAGTTCACTGCAACATTTGCCTCCTGGGTTCAAGTGATTCTCCTGCCTCAGCCTCCTGAGTAGCTGGGATTACAGGCGTGCACCACCACGCCTGGCTAATTTTTTGTATCTTTAGTAGAATGGTAGAGATAGGGTTTCACCGTGTTGGCCAGGTTGGTCTCAAATTCCTGACCTCATGATTTGCACGCCTTGGCCTCCCAAAGGGCTGGGATTACAGGCGTGAGCCACCGCACCAGGCTGCCTTATAGGACTTTTAGGGGGACTGCCTGAGACAGACACCCTGTAGGAGCACATGCAACAGTGATTGCTTGACCTTGATGTTATCACCTGGAGCAGGGGATGTGTGAGCTGAAACTGCCATGAAGGAAAACACTGGGGCCGGGCGCAGTGGCTCACACCTGTGATCCCAGCACTTTGGGAGGCCGAGGATCACATGAGGTCAGGAGTTCCAGACCAGCCTGACCAACATGGCGAAACCCTGTCTCTACTAAAAATACAAAACTTAGCCAGGTGTGGTGGCATGCCTGTAGTCTCAGCTATGCGAGAGGCTGACGTGGGAGAATCGCTTGAACCCAGAAGGCAGAGGTTGCAGTGAGCCAAGATTGTACCATTGCACTCCAGCCTGGGCGACAGAGCAAGACTGTCTCAAAATAAGAAAATGCTGGGCTGGTGGGAGAGGTGGAGTCGAGGCAGCAGACACGGTATGTGTAAAGGCCCGGCCACTCTGGGGAATGAAAATAGCTCAGCAGTGCTGGCTCAGGGGCCTCCAGGTGCTGCCCCTACCCACATCTGTGCCCTGAGCCACAAGATTCTGGAAGCTCACCTCATCTGTCCAATTCAGGCACTGCCCAGGCTCTGGGACACCTAGATGAGTGCAGAAGGAAAAACCAGGCCACTGAAGGCAGCCAGGGCCCGGCCCTTATCTTGCCATTGAAACCCCCTTCAGAGATGCCCCCGGATTCTTCTGAGGCCTGCCCTTGCCAGGCCTGGCTCGGCTTCCCGTGACTCAAGCGAGTGGCGGCCTGAAATCCAGGTCAGCAGTGGAAGCACCGCCAGACTCCAGAAAACAACCCAATCTCAGACCGGAAACCCCGGAGGCCCACCCTGGCCTTCTCCCAAGAAGGATCCCCACCCGCACCCAGGTTTCTGGCCCCAGGGCAATGCCAAGGCCCCAGCTAGAACTAGGGAGCGGCCACACCAGGGAGGAGGAGCCCTGGAGCCCAAACCAGGGAAAAGGAGCCGCAGCTGGGCTGAGCCTCTGGGAAAAGCCTGGACTTCAGGCTCCCAGGCCTGCAGAGAGAGGGTGGGCGCAGGCCTCGCCTTGCCTGCCTGTGGGTGCTTTCCTTGGAGCCTGGGGACGGGGGACAGGAGGGCACCAGCTCCCAGTTACCGCCACCTCCTGAGCCTCCCAAAATAACCCCAATGAGAAACTTCCCAAGCAAACACACAAAAAGTATTGTGCGATCGGTTTTAAACACTCTCATTGAACAGATGTAGGCTTGTAAAACACAGACACACAAGGGTCCATTGGCATGTGACGATGGTAGCCATGGGACAATGATGGAATACAGGCGCTTCCAGAGGGATCCATGGGAAAGTTTTTTTTTTCGTTTTTGTTTTTGTTTTTGAGACAGAGTTTTGCTCTTGTTGCCCAGGCTAGAGTGCAGTGGCATAACCTCAGCTCACTGCAACCTCTTCCTCTCAGGTTCAAGCGATTCTCCTGCCTCAGCCTCCCAAGTAGCTGGGATTGCAGGCACGCACCACCACACCGGGCTAATTTTTTTTTTGTATTTTTAGTAGAGACGGGGTTTCACCATATTGGCCAGGCTGGTCTCAAACTCCTGACCTCAAGTGATCCACCCACCTCAGCCTCCCAAAGTGCTGGGATTACAGGTGTGAGCCGCTGCACCCAGCTTGGGACACAGTTTGAAATGGTGTGATGGCTCACTTTCTCGTTCAACCCCATCAGAAGGAGGCTGTGATATCCACCCTGTGATACCTTCTGGAGAGAATGTTAAGAATCTAATCTAGGCCTGAGTCAGTGGCTAACGCCCATGATGGTGGAACTTCAGGCTTCGGTGGAAGGAGGACCACCTGAGGGCCAAGAGCTCAAGATCAGCCTGGAAAACATGGTGAGACCCTCTATCTCTGCATAAAAAAAAAAAAAAAAAAATTAGGCTGGCGCAGTGGTTCATGCCTGTAATCCCAGCACTTTAGAAGGCTGAGGTGAGTGGATCACCTAAGGTCCAGAGTTCAAGACCAGCCTGACCAACATGTAGAAACCCCATCTCTACCAAAAACACAAAATTAGCTGGGTGTGGTGGTGCATGCCTGTAATCCAAGCTACTTGGGAGGCTGAAGCAGGAGAATTGCTTGAACCCAGGAGGCAGAGGTTGTGGTGAGCTGAGATCGCGTCATTGCACTCCAGCCTGGGCGACAAGAGCACAATTCTGTGTCAAAA